GTTTGGAGTACTACTACAATTTGTGAAGATCATTGTATCCTGGGAGATAGACGCCATTCAACCGTAAGTACCGTAGCGGGGCGAATCTGTCTTAAGGACAGAATGTCACACACTCGACTTGGTCTTTATTTTTAATTCGGTTCGATAATTAAATTCGGTATGTTATTTATTTATTTTGTTTGAATTATTTCAAGTTATTTTATTTACACAGAAGATTGTTCCAACATTTATATTGGGAAATCAATTTTATGCAATGCTACAAAGCTTGAAAAAGTTGTCAAAATATAAATTATATGGACCAATTTCATTCTTTTTTCTTTTTTCTCGTTAGTCTATATATGGCATACATTGTTTGAATTTAAAAATTAAAAAAATAATAAAGGATAGCAAAAAAATATTGTTAATTATTTTAATTAAAAAAAATTGATAACTTGGTGCCCAAGCCAGCTTAGGCGCACCTCGACTAATCCCGAAAAATCAATCTCACTATCCACTTACGAAGACCCATTTGAAGCAAGGCAAATGTCCTGTATTTAATAAAATTTAATTCAACTTCTTGTGCCATAAACATGAATTATTTTAGGGTAAATTGCACTGTGCACCCCTGTACTTTACACCAAATTTCACTTTGGCCCTTACACATGAAATCATGACAGTCAACCCCCTACACTTTTGGTCAAATCTCACTTTGGTCCCTACATATGAAATCGTGACAGTCAACCCCTTGCACTTTTACTCAAATCCCATTTTGGTCGCTACACAAGTATCAATGTCCCTCTGTTGTTATTTTATTTTTAAACTTTTAACAAAATCTAGTCATGTAACAAAAATTTGATTATGAAATGAGGGTAAAAGAGAAAAAATCATCTATGTTTCCCACCAATACACTTTGTCCTACATGATAAGCACATGAGAGATATATAATACTATATACATATATACATTCGTATGGTAAAAAATGAGACGAAAAAGTAAGAAAGTAGAGATTATGAAATTTTAAAAAAAAAAACACGACAAATAAATCAAAGAGAAAGAAAGATGAATAGATAGAAGACTGTGTTACCGGGAAAAATAGAGTTTCATGATTCCAATTTATGCAAAACCCTAGTTCATCTTCTTAATTGTTCACAATTTGCATTTTGTTTTAACTTAATACAGTCATATTTTGATGTAAATTTTGGGATAAAGTGTGTATTGTTAGAAAATAAAGATGATTTTCTTTTCTTACCCTCATGTTGTAGTCACATTATTATCAAATGATTAGATTCTGTTAAAGATTTAAACAATTGTGAAAAACCTAAGTAATTCGTGATTCAGATCAAGATTATTGCACCAACACCCAAACAATTAAAACAGACAATCTAAATCATCTAGCACGTACAAAAGTGATTTAAATTGTTGCTTCAAAATCAATAAATCAATACAATAGATTTTTACGTAGAAAAATCACAATTGATGCACCTCCAATTGTGATTAAAAAATCACGAGCTAAACGCCACTAATCAATCCACTATGAAAGAAAGAATGAATACAAATTTACCAAACAAATTACCCAAACTCTGTCAATTTGTCTTCAACAATTTGTATCTTTTTCACTGTAATCTTCGTCTTGGAATTGATCAGATTGATGTTGAATCCACAACATCCATGTCGAATCAATGACTGCGTACAGCTTCGAACTCCTTCAAATACTCTACGCTTGAATCTCCAGATTCCACTGAAGAAGAACACTCTTGAAGTAGAACGCTCAAACAATCAAACTCTTTAATGTGTGCTTGTCAAACCATGTGAGTTTTAATGCTCAATCAAACATAATAATAATAAAAAAAAAATAAAAAAAAAACTAGCAAAATAACCCCCAGAAGAAAACCCTAGAACCCCTCAAAGAAGATCCGGAAGTCATGCCCTAGATTTGGAGCAAACTGCAACTTTATAGTAGTTGGAATCGTAATCACCGTTCAAGTGCAGGAATGGCCGTTTGAGTGGTGACACTAATACGCATGTTCCAAACCAGGGTCTACGCTCGAGCGTAGGAACTTGCGCTCGAGCGTAAAAACACATCTCACAGTATTTTTGCAGACGAGCCAAAATACTGAGAAGGTGGAAACTCCGCTCGAGCTGGAAAACCAAAAACAAAGGAAAAATTACAACTCGATTAACCCAAGCTTGTTTGCAGAATTGGCAATAAGTAGGGTCCTGACAAATTAGTAAGTATCAAAAATAGGACATTGATACTTGTATAGGGACCAAAGTAAGATTTTACCAAAAGTACAGGGGATTGACTGTTACAATTTCATGTGTAATGATCAAAGTGAAATTTGACCAAAAATGCAAGGGGTTGACTGTCATGATTTCATATATAGGGACCCAAGTGAGATTTGGGGTAAAGTATATGGGTGTAAAGTGTAATTTCCCATTATTTTATCTTTTGAATGCATTGTTCAGTCATTTCATGCAACCTGCAGCAAAATCGTGCAAAAGAAGGGTAGCAAAAAAATATATAAATGCCTAAGAGCATCCACAGTGGAGCTGTTAACCCTCCACTAGTGTCAAATGTTAAATTTTTGGCCAGCCAAGCTCCATTTTGTTTATACAATGGAGTTGCTAAGTGATGTGTTAGGGTCAAATGCTAGGGTCAACTGTTAACTTGTGTGTTAACTGTGGCTAGCATTTTAGCTAGCGAGAGAGAGAAAGAGGGGATGTGAGAAGTGTTGTGGAGTTATCCGACCGGACGCCCGGACCTTCAAGTAAAAAAAAAAAAAAATTGTAGAGTTTTTTTGGCCGGTCGAATGATTTTATGGCCTGCCGGCTTTTATTACCAAGCAAGACGCATTGACAGAAAGAGAGACGCACTGACAATGTAGTGATATGGGGCCCATTGCACTTTTCAATTATTTTATATTTTATTCATTATACATATATATATATATATATTCTTAACATACACCTTAACACATCCATTGTATTACCATTCACTAACTATTCATTCACTAAATTAACAAACTTTTTACACACATTTTTTTGTTCCAAGTTTATCACTTTTTGTCATATAACATATACTTTAACACACGTTTTTAACACATTCATTGTGGATGCTCTAAGCTTGAGATTGTTATTAAACGATTTTTGTTTTTATCTTTAACTTTGGGCGAATTACACTAACAGTTTTTATAGTTTGGGACTCGTATCATTTTGATTCCTAACTTTTTAATTGTGACACATTTAATCCTAAATTTTGAATTTTGTTCCAAATAAGAACAATTGAAGATACCATTGCTCAATTTCAAGGGCAAAGTCATCAATTTGATAAAATATAAACTAATTTGACAAAAATAAATGTCAAAAAAAATGTCGGCTTTTATTACCAAGCAAGACGCACTAACAGAAAGAGAGACGCACTGACAATGTAGTGATGTGGGGGCCCATTGCACTTTTCAATTATTTTATATTTTATTCATTATATATATATATATATATATATTCTTAACATACACCTTAACACATCCATTGTATTACCATTCACTCACTATTCATTCACTAAATTAACAAACTCTTTACACACATTTTTTTGTTCCAATTTATTCACTTTTTGTCATATAACACATACTTTAACACACATTTTTAACACATTTATTGTGGATGCTCTAAGCTTGAGATTGTTATTAAAAGATTTTTGTTTTTATCTTAAACTTTGGGCGAATTACACTAACAGTCTTTATAGTTTGGGACTCGTATCATTTTGATCCCTAACTTTTTAATTGTGACACATTTAATCCTAAATTTTGAATTTTGTTTCAAATAAGAACAATTGAAGATATCATTACTCAATTTCAAGGGCAAAGTCATCAATTTGATAAAATATAAACTAATTTAACAAAAATAAATCTCAAAAAAATATTTTGATTTTTTAAAAATTATATCTACACACTAAAGATAAAATTATACAAAATTGATAAAACTTTTACGTATTTATTTATTTATTTATTTATTTATTTTACCAAATTAATTTTTATTATGTGTTTGTATAATGATCATGTAATGTATGGTTGTTAAGCTTTTAATATGTAATTAATATATTTAATATATGAAATGCTTTTAATTTTAAATTTTTTAATTTAATAGATTGGTTTAATAATGATATCAAAGTTGTCGCTATATTTGAGTTTTAAAAAATAAAAACTAATTTAATGAAAATAAAAACAACCATCCATTACATAATCATCATCCAAACACATAATAAAAATTAATTTGGTAAAATAAATAAATGTGTGGAAATTTATCAATTTTACATAATTTTATATTTAGTGTGTAAAAATAATTTTTAAAAATTCAAAAATATTTTTTTGACATTTATTTTTATTAAATTAATTTATATTTTATCAAATTGATGACTTTGTCCTTGAAATTAAATAATAGTATCTTTAATTGTCTTTATTTAGAACAAAATTTAAAATTTAAAGTTAAATATGTCACAATTAAAAAGTTAAAAACCAAAATAACACAAATCTCAAATTATAAAAACCATTAATATAATTTGCCCTTTAACTTTAGATTGACATTGTAAACTTCAACACACATGACAATGTCAAACTACAAGGGGCAGAAAAGAAAGAAAAATAGAAAGATAAAAATAATGAAATAAAAAAAACACATCATAATTTGAAAATAAAAAATATTAAACTTCCCAGCCAATGTTTACTAGTTCCTCGTGACAAAATAATAACAAACGGCAAAGAAAAATCATCGACTAAATTAAATATGTGCACAAAGACTAAAAAACACATCATAATTTGAAAATAAAAACATATTAAACATCCCAACCAATGTTTACTAGTTCTTTGTGATAAAATAACACAAACGGCAAAGAAAAGTCATCAACTAAATTAAACATGTGCACAAAGACTAATCCACAAAATCACAAGATTTGGAACAATGATCCACATATTTATACGCCAATTATCTAAATACTTCCAATCCCATAAATTTTCCTCATCCCAACAATGGCTTTCCAATCACACATTCAACTTTCTTGTCTCTCAATTATCACATTTTACATTCTTCTCGCAACTCCTTGTGCAACTGCACTAAACTTCACCCTGGACAAAATCGATCCCAAAAATCTCAATGTCGACATAACCACCGACGGAGACGCTTACATCTCCTCTCAAGGCATCAACCTCGCGGCGGCTGAGAACGATACCAACTTGCAGCAAAGAGCCGGCAAAGCCACCTACGTTGAACAACTTCACCTATGGGACAAAGTTTCCGGCAACTTGACCGACTTCACCACCTATTTCTCCTTTGTGATTGATTCGAATGGAAGTTCAAGTTTCGGAGATGGGCTTGCATTCTTCCTTGCTCCTTCCGGTTCCAGCACCACCGCCGGCGGTGCCATTGGGCTTCCAATCCACCCCCAGACTTTGGAACCCACCAGCCCATTTGTCGCGGACTCGCGGTAGAGTTTGATACCTTTCAGAATACCTGGGACCCACAAAACATCACTCCTGCCACTCATGTTGGTATCAATATCAACTCTATTAAGTCTAATGATACCGCAACATGGACCAATAATGTAACTTATGGGATGGAAAATGAAGCTTGGATCGAATATGTCTCTAAGTCGAAAATGTTGAGTGTTGTTTTCACTGATTCTATGAATAATTATACAATCCAACATGGCCTTCATTTCAAAGTTGATCTGAGGGATTACTTGCCGGAATGGGTTACGTTCGGTTTCTCAGCTTCTACTGGTGCTTTTTTCGAAAAAAATATTGTTAAATCATGGCGATTTAATTCAGGTTTTCCAATTTAATGTGAAAAGAAGGAAATCTTACTGCTCTGCCAGCTTAGGTATTCTTGGATTTTGAATAAGATATTTGCTAGCTACCAATTTTGGTAGTTCATATGTAACTAGGTGATAGCTGTGTTACATTTTTATTTGGATTAATAATTGTTATCCTTTGGATGGATATACATTTTTATTTGGAATAATATGCTATGCATGCATTTTATAGTGTGATTCTTTCAATATTTTGCATGAGATTTTGGATTAAACAAATAAAGTCACTCAAGTTCAACCTGTATTTAAATTGAATTGCTTAGAAAAATTGACTAATGATATTTGGCTTTTTCAATTTATTATAATTTCTAATTTATTTGACTTTTTCAATTTATTAGGCCAAAATGAAGGTGATTTTCACAAATTATAATTTCTAATTTTTTTTCTTAACTTAATTGAAACCCTTAGATTCGTATGGACAAAAGAGTCACATCTCTTCTATCGTAATTATTATTTTTGTGAGTATTTTAAATATTTGCACAACAAAAGAGCTATATGAAAGCTTATTTAACTAAACAAGTTCAATTTTTTTCACATAATATCAAAAAATGCACCAAATAGATTTACAATTTATTGTAATTCTTATAAGCAAATAATCTAAAAAGTTTTAATGATAAAAGCTAACTTATAAATAATACCAAACGAGAGCAATGTGTTAACCATCCAAAAGAGTTCGAGTATCTTGCATGTGCTAAAATAGCATTATCCTATTTGAGTCACAATTATTTTAATTATGTCACATCACTTTTCTATCACATCATTTCAAACCCAATCTATATTTCACGTTTTTTCATAAAAAATCAAAAAATATATTTATTTAGATCATTCTAAACACTCGTTTAGTCTTCCACAAAAAGTTGCAGCGAACTTAAATTAATGGAACTAATTATGTTAAGTTCCGTTGGTCATTCCAATATAGTTATTATCTCAAGTTTAGTAAGTCAATCTTTATCAAATGCAAATTGATTATTTCTAGAACTGTAGATTCTCTTTGTTGTATTGAGTTATTTATTTTTCTATTATAGTTTTTTTTTTCCCTGTGTTTGTTGTTCGGCTCTTTTCATATTATTAGTATAATTATCTTATATCTGTAAATAATCTCCTACTTAAATTGTATAATCGAGAGGCCATTGAAATGAGGAATTGGAAGTGGATATCTAATTTGGTTCTCACAAAAACCAAAAATATCTAACATCTTTATTATTTCTTATTGCAATTTATAGATATGTAAAATGATGAAATAACTTTTTTATGTAACTAACACTATGTTACATCCAAGAAGGGAAAAAAAAAATTAAAAAATATAAAAACTACTACTTTATTATAATTCAATGTAAAGTCATATTGATGTATATAAAATAAATAAATAAATAAAATAAAAAACTAACTTACTTGTAAATCTTAGAATTTTTCATCCAATGTGACCGCCATTAACATTTTTTTTTAATCATATAATAACTTGAGATTAAAGGCTTGGAAAAATGCCATGCAAAAATAAATAAATAAAAACACTTTGATAAATGGTAGAGGCTCATTGGGCCATGTAAAGATTGGGTTACCAAATTGCCTTTTGGGTTCTGGTTAATGGGCTTCCCTTGAGCATGTTTTTTAAAGGTAAATTGAACTTGCTTAGAGATTGGGTTTTAACGGTAAAGGAAGTGAACTACCCAATTGAATCCAAGCCCATGATTGAATTCTTCACTGTTGTCATTCTTGGTTTTTATTTGTTTGTTTTTCTATTATTCTTTTTGTTAAAGAAGGGAGGTTTGGCTCAAAGGTAAAGGCTTAATCTTAGCGTTTTGGTAATATATTATAATAGTTTATTAAGTTATTATATATTGAGATTTAAGTTTATAATGTAATATATTTAAGAAGTCAATTAGGTTAGAAGTTGATGAGAAGAAAACAAAGAAAAAAGAGAAGGGTGGTGTTGTGCGGCTGTGCAAACCGAGAGAGAGAGAGAGAGAGAGAGAGAGAGAGTAATCAAAGAAGAGAAAGTGAGGACGGCGGCAAGGAAGAAAGAAAAAGAAAAAGAAAAAGGAGAAGGAAGAAAAAGATTAGGGTTTTATTTTGGTGGTTTTATTAATTCTTTAAATAATTTTTTGATTTTTAAAAAAATATTATGAGTACAAAACTCACTTCCCTTTATTTATGTTTAATTCGTTGTTTTTATTTATTTATTTTTATTTATTTGATGTTAGTTTGATTTTGTTTGTTGTATGTAGATGATTGATTGATTTTAATTAGTTTAATTAGTTGTGTATGTAAGGTTTAAGATTTTTAGATGATTGATTGATTTTAATTATTTTGATTAGTTGTGTATGCAAGTTTTAGAGTTTTTATATGGATTAATTTTATGGTTGTAATCACACTCATGCTTATATGAAATTGAAATAAACTTAGAATCCATAGACATTGGTTAGAGGATGGATTGATTCGTTGTTTTTATTTATTTATTTTTATTTGATGTTTGATTGATTTTGTATTTGCATGTAGATGATGGATTGATTTTAATTATTTTGATTAGTTCTGTATGCTATGTTTAGGATTTTTATATGAATTTATTTTATGGTTGTAATTACACTCATGGATATATGAAATTAAAATTAATTAGGAACCCATAGATAAATTCCTTATACTCCACCATGACTCCATAGATTGTTGTTTTATTTGAGTGATGGTGAGAAAGAATGTATAAAAAAAAGTGAGGATTATAAGATTTATTTAAATGCCTTAGGTTTGGCATTGTTATGTTGTTCTCATGAGTGAGATGCTTTGTATATAGATATTTGTCACGACCCAAACCCGCCCTTGTAGGTTTAGCATCGTAACCGGCTAGTAATCCGCGGATTACCGCAGGCCTCTTAACAGATAAGCACAAAATAAGGGGCTGCGGAAGCAATTATACAAAATAGACAAGGTCCAATGAGCTGTGATAACGTACATGGGACAGAAGATTTCAAAACTTATATATATACATAAGCATGCCAGTCAAAGGACACCACATGGGATATATGTGTAGGCCGGAAGGGGAGGGCCGAAGTGGTGGAGTTAAGGTATAAAGAATTTAATTATGAGATGATTGTTATAGTATGCATTGTATTGATTTGTACATGCTGAAAAATAGTAAACGACCTCGATAAATTATGAAATTTGAGCAGAGGCATGTTGTAATAACCCTCATGCTATCCTAACCATACTCATATGCATTCATGTGATTCCGTCTTGTAAACTTGCGTTTCAAGTCTTGTCCCTGTTCGTTTAAATGTTACAGCATGTTTTGTATCTTGCTTGGTGTGAGTTTAGCCGAGGTCATTTTCAGTTATCTTGGAACCACTTTGTTTGACCTCCACCCTCGCCCTGACATATTGGCCGAGATGTCAGTATCTAGGCCGAGGTGTTCATCACCTAGACCGAGGTGTGAACCATCTAGGCCGAGATGTGTACCTTTGCACCCAAGTAATCTTGTCCCGGAGTGGTATGACCTAGACCGAGATGTGACACATCTAGGCCAAGGTGTGGCACAGCTTAGTCAAGTGTTGTCCTTCCTAGCTAAGGTCATTGTTCCCTGCTTGTCGATGTCTTTCTATTAGCCGAGATCATTACTTGCCAGAGTGCCCATACCGTCTTGCTTGTCGAACACACTATGTCATGGTTTTGTCTTGTCACTCAGCCACCTTTCTGTGTAGCGCCAACCAGCCACTGCCACGTGCCTCCGTAGAGGGTTAAGTCAGCCAGCAGACTTAGAAATGTATCATTTGCTATATGTTTTTGTTTGTGAAGAGAAAGAAGCTCTAGAAGAAGAAGAAGAAGAAGTTTAGAGTGAGAGAGTGAGTTTCGAGCTTGATTCCTAGAGATCAAACCATTAGATTCGCATATTGAGGTTCGATTCTTGATCTACTCTTGTCATTCTTATTGATCATCTAGCTGCATTGCATGATCGAACCCGTTTTGCATGTCATGCATCGATTTAAAGTTGGTTTTAGAAAGAGAAAACGGTTTTCATGTGTTTTTTAAGAAAAGCCTCGTTTAATCCGAAAGTTTGCGTTAAGGCTCATGCTTTTGTGTTTGTTTTGATGAGATTCTTGAGTGTGGGTACCCAGGTCCATGTTTTTGAAATTATAGCATGAAATCTCAGCTTTTGTAATAGCAAGTTTTGATCTTTGTGTTCATCTTCTTCATACTCATGGTTCTTCATGTTTATCAAGAGGGAAACCCAGATTTTCCCGACTTCGTTTTTGAATGTGGCCATCGAGGCTACACCTTGGCAATGAGGTGTGGGACCTCGGCCTAGACCTGGTAGTTGCCCAGCGTGTTTTTCCAAAGATAAGAAACTGTGTTTTGATTTGATTGACTTAGTTTTTGAAGATTGCCGAGGTCAGTTTGCATGTAAGCTAGACTTGTTTTGAGTAGTGCATTCAATAGACTTTGATATGTGTTGTAGGACTTGGACTTGCCTTGACCCCGACGTTTGAAGAACTAGGTGAGTGGTATTTTTAATAAAGTTATGTTATAATGTTTTGATAAAGTCTCGTTTTGCTCCGTTTTGAGAAAAGTATTTGTAAGCATGAATGGTTATTCCTAATTTGAAAAATATATATATATTCTTGTTTTGATGAC